ATGATTGGGATTTTAAAGAACTGAGGTGGCAACCCTAGTTTTTAGCATTTAGCAGTTAGCGAACTGCTCAACAATCGCCTATGAAATCCTCATTTACCAAGATGCTCAGGAATAAATAAAATTCAGATAATTCAATTTCCATCCCTTTACCATAATCAAATATCTGGTAGAGAGTTGTGTTAAGTCATATCAAGTCAAGTAAAACTTCATAATCATCTCAGCCATGAATTGTACACATCTAAATGAAATAAAGTTCCTCCTGAACCCAGATTGCAACATTTAAGCCTGGAGCCTATCCCTGGAATCACTGGGCACAAGGCGGGGGTCTCACAGTCAGAGAGAGCTGAACTCTTCAGGAGATCCTTCATACCAACTGCTCTTTGCCTTTTTATCATCCCAATCAGCTGTCTGTAACCTATTTATACATTCGTACAGCATTCTTGCAGCGTTACTTTATGTCTTTTTGCACAGACTCTGTTGCACGCCTGCATATAAAGATATAAATATGCCTCATTTATAAATATTGTATGCCCATAAAGTTCATAATGCCCACTGTTTAGTATTGGTGTACAATGTAACATTTAACTGTCATATACACAATAACATTGTAACAAAATATTGTAATTGCATGTATGTACTGTATATATCTATTCTGAACTGTTAATATTTCTTTTTTATTTTATATTATTTATATCTATATTATTTTATACATTTGTATACCTCGTCCCTCACTGTAACTGTTTTTTATCCTTTTTATCTGTCAACCTGCTGCTGGACCAAACAAATTCCACCCCCAAGTGGATTAATAAAGTCAAGTCTTCAAATGTAAGTCTAAGTCTAAGGAGGCAACCTGGATTTGACACCAGTTCATCACAGGGCAGACAATTATACACAATGTCACATGCAAGGGCCATTCAGAGGCACCAAATCACTTGGACATGTGGTTATGAGCCTCATAAGAATGCTGGTATAGCATTTGAACCTCATTAGGATTCTGGTATAGCATCTGAACCTCATAAGGATGCTGGTATAGCATCTGAACCTCATAAGGATGCTTGTATAGCTTCTGGACCTCATAAGGTCGCTGGTATAGCACCTGAACCTCATAAGGATGCTGGTATAGCATCTGGACCTCATAAGGATTCTGGTATAGCACCTGAACCTCATAAGGATGCTGGTATAGCATCTGGACCT